TCACAAGATAAAAACCCAGGAGAATCCAACATGACTATCAAAAGTCAAGCTCAAAACCAAAATAACATCCAAAAGAGATCTGCTTTACTGTAATCACTTGAACTGGGGAACATATTGCCATTTCTTTCGTGGACACTTGCAGTCTCATCTGTGTAGTGCATAAACTAACTTGGGGAAAATCAAATCAATCCATGAAGTGATTAAACACAGAGATATCACCTGTGAGATAGGAAATCTTTAAGCCATATTATCTGTGGGAGATAAACAAGTATATCAAAGAAACATCACTGTGCATACTTATGCTTTCAAAGGTATTCTGTACCAGCCTAGCTGAGACGAGACTGGCTGAATGAGCCTCTGGTGTGACCTAGTGTGATTGTCTGTCATGTTTGTCCATAGAAAAGTGCCACTGAGCTCAGCATCTCTTACAAATCTATGACATTTCTGGAACATTATGATATTACTTTCATTTGGCATGAGTAAGAAATCCACATAACCCAAACCACCTACACAACTCACCTGGAAGCATAATCTTGACAAGCCCTCTGACATACTGTTCAAGAATGGAACCGTTTCATGAAAGCTCCCACTGAATAATTACATGACTAAGGCATACACGAAGCTTCCAGTCCAAAATCCTAAACTGCAATGCAATTTAGTCTGAGCTGTTAATAACAGGACCATCCCAGCCCTACATATCATTTTAACCTGATGAACTTCTATTTTATTAAGACAACGAGGCTCTTTCAATGAATTTACATCAGTAGAAAACGAAGAAAAATAAAAGATATAACTTGGTCCAGGCAGCCCTGGGCACCCTCAACACATCAGAAGTTGGACTGAGGTAAGCACAGCATATTTTATAGTTGTCAGAGATGTCTTCAGCAGGACACATAAAACAAGGCACTGCTTGAAAGCTTAAGTGGGGTGGCCAAGTAGGAGTAGCCTGTTCAATGCCAAGACTGAAATGTTTCAGATCTACCTGCCAAACTTTTATAGATCCTTCTGAAACCTTAAAACCTCTCCAAAAGAAATGAGGCCCTAAAATGAGCCATGCTTTTCTTGGAAAACTGTTCAGTCTAACAAGAATGCTTTAAATGAGTCAAACTTCATATTTAAAGTCCCATCTGGTATTAAAAAAATATTTCTTTAAGAAATATTAATATTTAGGGGTAAAAAGTAAAGTAGTCATAGAAAAACTCAATGTGTTTGTATGTATTTAAATGATAATAACTGAGGGGAATCAATATTGTCATTTCCCAAAATGATTAAAAATGTTGGCCTCAGAAAACAAGCATGAACATGACACTGAAGGATGCACTTTAGCAAGAAAGTGTACAAGTTAGAGATGTACAAGCACTACTGCATTGCTACAAATACATTTTGTAAACCTAATTATAGGTGCATCATCGTGGAACAAAAAGGCAATAGCCACACCACACCTATTAAACATTTCTACAGCCTGATAGCCATTAAAGCCCGGAAATGTACTAGGAATAGGAAAGGAAAACTGCTACAGCTGCAGAAGTGCCTGCAAAAATAAGCAGCTCTATGGGGCTTAAAAAGAAAAGATAATAGGAAAAACACTGGACTTGTAAATAAGTTCACAGCATTTAGTGTGAAGTGTCCCTGCCCATGGCAGGGGGGTTGGAACTTGATGATCTTACGGTCCTTTCCAACCCTAACGATTCTATGATTCTATGATTTAATTACAGATCTGAAGCAGTCTAAGTCTACAGAAGCCTCTTAAAGCACATGAAGGTTGCTTAGCAGAAAAGCCAAAATAGGATTTTAATAAACAGCATAATCTGGATTTCAAAGGGCGCTGGATTTAACCTTCTGCTTCTAGGCACAAGCACAGATTTGGTATAATTTTAGATAATGGCTTTGGTCTCAAAGCTTCAGAAAATGAGCCTTGTTTGAGGCATAACAAGACAAATGGCTGCTTTAACTTCCAAGTAATGTTTAAAAGGTTTCAATAATGGAAGCATTTAGCTAAAGCAAGAAACAGATGAAACTGCAATGACAAAAATATCACCTCCCTTTGTGCCGTGTCATTTCCAATGCACTTCAGACTCTACAGAGAGAGATTGCCAGCACATCTATTACACCATCATATGAACATGCATATTTATCATGAAAGTACAAAACCTCAATATCTGTTTTAACAATGACAGAAAATATACAGAATAAAAAATAATATTGAATTGTTATTCTTTATTCTTCAGTTATAGTGCAATCTGATTTTAAAAGGAAAATTTACACATGATATTCCATTTCCAGTTGTGGTGAGATTTTATCCAGTTTTAATAATTTAATTCTAAGAAATGGGAGAAATCATCAGTAATTTCTTAATCTAAAAGACTAAAAGACTACAAGTACCTAACTGATGAGCCAATAAGGCAAAACCAACATTGCAGAAAGTAAGTAAAGCTGAATAATCTATGATGTATGCTTACTTATTCTCTCCCAAAAGCACCTCTTAGCCCATCACTTGCACATCCCACTCTTAGGTCTATTACCCAATTACTTTCCAACACAAGTGAAGAAATGGTACTTTTGCCTTTACATCTACTAACTATGGCAAGCCACACCTAAGAGATAAAATGGATTTATTTGCTTCATATATATGAGATTTATTTAAATAAGGTTCTCCAACACAATAACAATAATCCTTCTTAAGCAAAGACGGAAACACTTGTCATGTAATCCTTGCTCAACTGAAAACACCAGAGGAATTGGCTTGAAGATATCCCTTCCAGTAAAGCCCTCTGGCTTCAGAAATCTGTATGTCATGTTTCCTGCAGTGGCATATCTCCGCTATTGCTTTCACCACATGAATGAGACAGAAAACCTCCTGAGTCTAGCAGCAACTCCTGGCATGAATCTGGTGTGATGAAGGAGTCAGGCCTGTCCTCCTTTTGTGATGATGATTCACAACTTATAGACAGCGCTTTACAGAACCATAATTAGTTTCACACACAGAGTTTAATGCTCCCCCTTCTTACTCAGTGCTACCCTAGGCTGTCTTTGACACAAACACTTGTAAATGAGTATGTTTTATAACTCAATAACCAGTGTTCACAAGCTTTACTGTGCAAAAGCAACACCTCTTAACCAGTGGTGTGCTGTCTTCAGATAGAGTCATGTATTCATTTCTGTCAATATGGGTAGCATTTATTTGAAACAAAAAGGTCACTCTGGCACTCTGCTGTAATCATCATACTTAACAGAACTATAAAGCATGTTTATAAAATCCAGAGAAACTTACTTCAGCTTCACAAACACAAAGGAAAAAATAATAACTTTAATTCCTGGTATAGATTAAATCATGGCAATCAAAATATCAAAGGAACCTCCAGCTCCTTCCACACCACCTGCCATCCATCTGGCAGATGAATCTACAGCAGTCAAGTCAAACTTAAGTGATAGAAAAGTTGGTCTCACTTTCCTCTGTGCATCATATGTGAAGGCAGACAGGGGTGCAGAGGCTGAACACTTAGCACTTGTTGCTTGCTTCACTTTCCTTCATATTAACTCCAAGTATCTGATAGCTCCACGCTTCTGTTGGCCATAATGAATCTTCTCTTCCTTTTTAAATGAATGGCCCTGCTCTGGACTTGCTCCAATAGGTCCATGTCCTTCTTGTATTAGCTTAGTTTATCCCCTTCTATATCCTACTCCATTTTTCCCCCTCCTCCCTTTTCCATCTCCCCTGTCTCTTGGATAATCCTTAAACCACATTCTTTCTTAGGACTCACCTACCCACCAACATGCAGTTTATAGAAGTGTTAATACCAACATCCATGGCAAACCGAGCAGTGTGTTTTGTGATTTCACCATTTACTTACAGGTCATAAATTTCCAGTCTGTAATGAACAGCATTAATCCAAAGCTTTTTAGTTTATTTCCACTTCCCAAGCTGTAACCAAAGATCCTTGAGCTGTCCTTCCAAGTTGGACAGCCATCACACACTTTTCCTTCTAATTCAATGAGGCAGAACATGGGGAAAAATTACCTATGGAACGCTCAGAGAGGGACTCAAACCCAGTCCTACACACTCCCCCAGCCCTCCCCTCACTGTTGGAAATCTTTTGTTTTACGTGATTGATCCTGAGTCCATCATTGGGGATTTTAGGCAAATCTCAGCCTCACACGTTGAATTAGCAGCAGACATACCGCAGACCTTTAAAGTCCACTAGCTAATGAGGATCAAACACTTCCTGCTCCTGCAAGCACAGCTTGCTGCAAAGGTAAGCTGGCACACTGAGGCAAACTTTGATTTTGCAGAAACCTGTGGTCCAAGACGTGAGGTAAAGAACCGAGCTCAGCACATAAGCCCACAGAGGCAGGCAGCTGAAGTGTTAAATACCACACAAGTCATAATTAAGGCAGCATTTTGAGCCCTAACACCAAAGAAATGCAAGTGTATCTTTATGTTGCTCACTGGAAACACGGTGGCTACACTGGGAATAAGTTAATGCATGCAGCATTTGTCTGAAAACCTGTTAAGGAGGGCACTCCACTAGTGAAGCAAAAGTAGCTGGGGTGTAATTCAGTGCTTCAGTGGGTGAGGAACAGACTGATGTCTCCATCTGCAGCTAAGAAGGTCAAGTCATACAAGGAAAAAAGTCAGAGGGACTCTCTGTAGAAAGTCTGTGGGTGACAGTTGTATGGGAATCATGGGAGGTTAATCCTTATTGCTCTGTATCTCATGCAGTAAAAGAGGGCACAGAGTTTTCAGGAATTTTTACCCTAGTTTCCAGTTGCTCATAATCTCCAGCAAGGTTTGGGCAGGACTCAGGCAGAACCATACCTCCCACCTTTACTTTAAGCATCAGTACAGTGCCGAGCACAGCACGTCTGAGTTGGTAAGGTGCTTCACAACTGAAGCCTCAAAGAAACCAGCAGAATCAGAATCACTTAATGACCACCGAGGGCACTAATGGGTTGGATCCTACAATGCTCTAACACACAAACTCATCAGAGGTTTGATTTACCTTGACCTTGTAGTACTCCTTGACTTCAGGCTGAATGGAATCAAAATCACCACTGATGTAGTCAGGCAAGAAGCTGAAAGGAAAGCAATGAGCAGTGAAATGAAAAAGTAATCCATCTTTCTACATTTACTATTTATCTTTTCAAGAGCATTAATCTCTGAAGGGAATAGGAGTTAGTTAAAAGTGTGTTAAAACAACAGCTGATAAGAGGTGATACAAAATAAGGTAACAGATGAACTGTAAAACTGGTAAACCCCTTCTTTGCTGACGGATCAACACATTGCCTCGATGCCTATACATCTCCTGGGTAAGGCAAGACTTGTATGTGCATGGTTCTGGAAAGACAACTCTCAAGTATCTTTCAAATGTATCATTTAGTCAGCAAAGTATCTCAAAAAAGCCTATCTGAGTGCTGTACATTAAGCCTTGGAGGATATCTTCTAATAGATGATGATGATGATGCTTCTTGGACAGCTGGTATGCCACAGATGTTCCAAAGACTTGTATTTTAGTTGTTACTGATGTCATCTCCTGTCTGCTCTTCTCCTTGGTTATTAACAATACTCACCCCAGAATATGAGAGCCAAATGCTCAGTGATTTTTAAATCGTATCTTGGATGTTCAAAACGTGTACGAACCCAATTTGAAATCCTAACCATCATTTGCGTGGTCACATTAAGGCAAAGCACATCGAAATAATGCTGGCATATTCATCTCAACTTGCTGTTATCACTTTTTAATTGCAGAATGCTTCAAAATATTTACCATATAAATCCTTACCAAATTCATACTGAAACTTCAACTGTGCTGCAGGAAGAACAGCTTAAAAATACAGGTTGGGAAAAAAAGAAAACTACACCAAAACCAACCGACCAACCCCACAGGAATACAGCTTTCCGTCTTGCATAATTCCTGGAGCCAGGACAACAGGTGAAAGTATTGCCACTGTTTCAATACATCAGACTGAACGGAGTTTTGAAATCAAGGCTGTGATTTCAGTGTTTTCTAACCATTTAAATACGTAGTTCCTCACCTCCGAGGTTACTATATGAGGTATACGGGAGTTCCGCAGCAAACTCGTTTACAGCTCAAGCGGATTTACAAGGAATTGGGCAAAGCATTTTGGGGCATATTTTTCTTCCACACGATTTTAGAAGGACGTGGCAGGGTCTACAACACCCCCCATGTAAAAACTGGTACAAACCTCGTGTTTGGCTCTGCTCTGAGATTTCAAGAGACACGCAGTCACTGGCCACCATTTCCTTTGAAAACGGAGAGCTGCTTCAGCAGAAGCTGGTAAGTTCAACTGTTGTGAGTTAGCTCGTGCAGCTCTGGCATTTCTAATTCACTGCTCTCTGCTAGAACTAAGGCTTTATAAAAGGATATGTACTAAGTATAATCCCTCCAAAGGTGATGCTCCCACACTCACAGCAGGGACAAGGGCAGTCCCTTCTGCGTGAGGATTTATCGAGGACACACAAACCAGCTAGGAGAAATGCAAATGCTTCAGGGCTCTGTTTCATGTGCTTAAGTCTGTTTCATGTGCCCAGGTAGATCTGCTTCTTCAACGTGCAGCTGACCTTTTCAGCATACAAAAAACACCATGTTTTCAAAATCTAAATTTTAAATTGCTGCCTTTTTACCTTTCCACTATTTTCCCAATGAAATACTCACTGAATACAACAAGCCTAAAGAACTACAGGTATTCTCTTTCCATTTGTTATTTTCCTTTCACTTCTTCCTGATTGGAGCAAAGCCATTAATAGTAAATTCAGTCCAGGCCTTACAGGGGTGGCCCCAAATGTGAGCCCTGGAGGCATCCCAGCAGGTTGCCAGGAAGAACAACAGACAGTTGTCATGGAGAGCCAAGTTGGTATGACACACACATCCACTCTGGTGAAAAAGCAGATGTCTTTAGGTTCTTTATCTCACTGAAATGTGGTTCATAAATCCAAAAGTGTCTCTGCCATGTTTTTTTCTCTACAGTAACTACAGACTGCTGTGCTTTTAGATGATCAACCATTTCTCCTGAGTGCTTCAAGGGGCATAACTGGGAGCAGAATTAGCCAAATAAGTATCTTCTCAGCATCAAAAGCTCCTTCACAGCTTTAGCTCTCATCCAAAGTAAAGCCATTTTCATGACAAATGGTAGCTGAAGTTCTCTGCATTTTTACAAGCAGAAATCTCCACTGCACGTCCCATGTGCTCTGCCATGGCTCCTGGCCATGCTGCCTGGACACATATCCTATGCCAGGAATTGCAACATCCATTTTCAAAACATCCTAAACAGCTCACTTGCAGCCACCACAAAGCCAGAAGCGACTGACAGAGGATAAGGAACTGTGGCTGGGAACTTCGGAATTTCTTTCTTCTCTTCTCCTTCCTTTTTAGAAATGCCAGAAACAAGGAAAATTCGGAAAGTCACTGCTGATGAATCCTGAGGAAATCTCAACTTGCACTGTCTGCCTCACAAACATCATGAAGTGTTTCAGCTTTGTTGTCAGATGGCAGCTCTTTGTAACTCATTGGCTATACAACCCAACAAAAGCAAGCCAGCCTTCACTCAGGAGTGAAAAGGTGTATTTGGCTTGGTCCTTTTGAGCTCTGTGGAACAAACTACCTGAGTCAGGTGAGCAGAATCAAATCAAAGCTTTTCTCTAATTAACATCAGTGAAGAACAGTCATTCTATCTTAGTCTAAAGTTGTCCCAGGCTGACTAACCTCAGTGAAGATTAGCACAACTGATAAAGGGGAAATAGTTCAGAGAGATATATATGGAAAAAAACCTCATAATGAAGTAGCTTAAGAATATAAATGTAATGATTGGTGTTCAGTTCTTTGCTATGCTATAGTTCTGTATTTACTCCAGAGTACAGCTTAGTCCAGGAGAACAGGCTCTGGAGAATCATGTATCAAAGCTTACTACTATGTGAGTGGAAGAAATATTGTCACAAAAAAAGCAACAAGAAAGGCCCCTCCTTTGAACTTAAATCAGCCACTCTGATTTAAAGTGTGGATTAAAATCAGGTGTTCTGTTAATCTAACCTATGTTTTTCTACCCTCTGACCTCAAATTTATGAATAATTCTTACTGGGTGCCATAACTATTGAAGAAGACATGTATTTCAGTGACATATATGGCACACATCATCCTTTTCTCTTTTTGCCCATGGTGGCAAAAGAGAGTTTTCATTCCATTTCCTAAGGGCAATTTACAATTGCAATTTCTAAGTGGTCCACATGATGCAGTCTCCCGCACTTCAGAACCACGTTTCACCAGTCTCATTAGCTGTTAATTATCGCTCTGCATATAAGGTCATGACCAGCTCAGCTGGCTTGGTTCTCTGCTGCTTTTACACTGACATTTATCAGGAGTGAGCCAACTCCATAATCCTCAAGGTGTAAGTATGGAATTCACGTGAGATCAGCTTCTTCTACCAAGCCTTTTCTAGAGCTGTCAAGCACCAAGCAATGAAAAAATCCTTAGAGACTTTGGGCCAACCGGAGTCTTTCTTCCTCTTCTAATTCTGTTTCCCTTTTTGGAGGTTAAGGGTTTTTGTTTGGCTTTAGGTAGTTCCTTTGCTGTTGCTGTTGTTTTGGGGTTTGTTCTCTTCAGGGTATTTTAGAGCCATACGGCATCCATCTAAACCGAGTTTGGAGTCAAGAGACCAGGACTGCTTTCAGATAAGGACCTGCAGGCACTTCCAGAGCAGGCAGTGTTTCCTGTATATAAATAGTGGGGTTTTAAACCCAGAGTTTAATATGAAACCTTTAAAAGTTTAACTAGTTTACCAAGAAAGCAACCAGCACTAATTTCTCACAAATTTTGAGATGGATCCCACCTAGGGGATTTATCCCAATTGGATAAAGGGTAAATGTTGTCTGAACAGCATTATAAGCTCCCAGGACGCCAGGCTGGACAGCAAGAGGAAAAGAATAAGATTCCAGTAGGTTTGCCATAGTTTTAAGATACACTAATGAAATCTCAGTCACCAGTACCATAAAACAGTCATTGACTCTTGCCATAGACACAGATTACAAAATAAATAGGAGCTATTCAGATTCTGAGGTTCTCATGCTAAGCAAACACAACTGTGCCTTTTGCTTTCAAGCAACCCATCTAATGGACACAGTTTAATTCATGAAGCTGTTTTACTTTTAAATATTCCCCCCTAATGAACAGCATTTATAATACCAGAATACTTGCTCCTTTATTCACTCACTTTCAGAATTCAGTAGGGGGTGGCAAATATGCCTTTTTATCAGGTTATAAAAAAGAAAACAGAAAACCCAAGAGATCACACTTTAGCGGTTATAGTAAAAAACTGTGCTGCCTCCTTAAATAAATTGCTCTGGCATAACTGTTCAGTTCTATCATTAATTCAAAGTTACAGTTTCCTAGTACTATTGACTTTTTGTGTGATGTAGCTCCTTTAGCACATAATTGCCTGCAATTAACCTTCTTTAAACAAATGTTAACATCAGAGACATGAGCATATAAAGGCAGTATCTGCGGTACCCTTTGCTGCCTTCAGTTAGAGCACAGCAAACGTTCCCACGCAGCCAAGTGGTATGCGTCCCAGCTGTACCATTCGGGAGCATGGAAAGGGTTCCCTACACTGTTTCTTCCACTGATAAAAAAAAGCCTCAAAACCAGTGCCTTTTACCCTGGACCAACAGAACGAGCTGCTTCTCAGTAGAAAGAAAGGCAGATAACAAGGTGCAGACTTAAGATGAAGCAGTCAGCTTTGACTTTCAGAAGCACCTCCTAATTGGGAGTACAGAAGGTAAAGCACTCTGGCATTACTTTGTGATAAATGTTAAAATCACAGTTGAACAAAAAAGCCCAGCAAACAAAAAATAATGCCCCCAAACCTACATTTGCTGACCATTAAAGTGCACTTTCACCTTGCCCTCCTCACTGTCAGTCTTGACTAGAAGGGTGAGTGAGGGCTGTTCTCATCAGAAAGCTGTTAAGTTGTTTAAGTCTGTCACAAGTATACTATTAACTGCTGTGAAGATGAAAGTGCCTTTTTAACTCCTGGAGACAAGTACAGCACAAGTAGATGCATTT